ACACACAGTAGTATGTATCTTCTCATCTAACTATCAGCAAGAAAACATTAGGCATGTAGTGGTGATGGCTAAAGTTAGGCTAAGCTAAGGGACTAGGAATGTATTTAGTCAGTAAGGCTCCTCACAAATATAGTAAATGTGTGTGTGGGTGGATTCATGAGTGTTTTAGTACTAGTACCAGTATGATCAATACAATGTTGGTTCAATTATAAGATTTTGAATCTTAGTTTTAAAACAAGTCATGTCAGTATAATTTTAGAATGGATTAATTTGGAGCTGCAAAACTGTAAAAAATTACAGTTTTGCACCTCCTGTTGACACACTGTCATCCTGTGGTCCTACAGGCTGTGCTGCTTTCAACAAAACCTTTACCAGTTGGCCCCAGTCAGGAGCGATATAAGGCTTACTAGGACCCAGATTTGTAATCACAAGACTACTAATGTTACTGTATATTTGGCTAGAAAATCTCTCATCCCAGTGAATCTGTGGTTCCCCTTTCTCTCTCTGTAATCTTCCCTGCCATTGCTCTGCATAAAGTCTAATGAAGCAGAAACAAATCCCAAAGCTTTATATCTGCAGTAGACAGAGCTGTGAAGATGAGATGTTTCCTCCTACGCAGGCAGGCAGACAGGCAGTAGCTCTAGAGAGCCAAACACCTCCAACTCTAGCTACTGGAAAGCTATGGAATATCTGATTACCTCTCACTGATAGCAAACAGGAAGCCTGCAGCCTCCATCTGAGCTGTTGGCTAAGCTGAGAGATTTTTTTTATCTGCAGAGGATCTGAATCCATTGTGTGGACTGATATAAGACCTGTAGACAAATAAATAATAGAAAACAACTTCATAAAAATATTTGACTCCAACTGGGTACAGCATTGCTTTAGGTTACCTATGACAAATTGAAAAGGCTGCCATGTTAGTCAGTTCTCTTCCAGTTGACAAGATGGAGCAGAGTTTTATGAGCAGAGTGAGTCAGTTAACGTCAAGATGGTTGGAATAAAAATGTCTCCATTCAGTAGATGTTGACAGAGGAAGCAAGACATCCTCTTCAAAAAAGTTTTACGAACATGTCAGCTCCATATATTGAATATCTATTTAATAAATTTTTTAAATCATCTATATATTTAATCAGAAATTAGATTTTGATTATGTGTTATTATTTGATATCTTATTTTATATTTTGGGAAGCATAGTTTTAATCAAGCTTAAAGCAAGGTCCTGTTGAACTCAATCAACTAAAAGTATTTAAGTTTCAGTATTTTAGAGAGACTGTTGTCATTAATACAAAGAACCTCATCCAGGGCATAGACAGTTTAAAATGGATGCTGAAATGATGAACGTTTGAAGGGCTGCAAGTAACATTGTCAATTAGTCTGCCAATTATTTTCTTGAGAAAGCAATTGGTTTTGTCTACAAAATGTCAGAAAACACTGAAAAATACCCATCATAATTTTCAAATTGCTTGTTTTATTCAACCAGCAGTCTAAAGCCTAAATATATTCAATTCACTATCAACTATGACAGAAAAGCAGCAATTCCTCAAATTAATCATTAATAAATACAATGAAGAGATGCAGGAATAATCCTAAATGAATTATATTTTGTATTAAATGTCAGTGCCTTCCAAGACATGTGATATTTAGGACACAGAAAATTGTTTTATTTAGTTGTATATCTGCATTTACAAATGTCAAAAAACGTGTGTATAAGAAACTTTTACACATCTGTAAATTTGCATCTGTCTGACAACAGGGGACCTCAACTGAAGAGCCATATAATACAGTTTGCTCCCTACAGGGTACTTCAGTTGTCAAAATGTCTTTGTCACTGAGTTAAAGTTTTAGATATTAGGTTTTGGGGAAATTGTCTATACCTCAATCTCACAAAACAAGAGGACAAAAACATTCCTAAAAAAAGGGGTGGGGGGGGACTTCCTGCAGATGAATGTTTTCACACCTGATCTAAAACAGCCTAAAAGTGTTTGAGGCATCCTTAGATGGACGGGGAAAGGATTCCCGGCAAGAGAGCAGCCTACCAGAAAGCCAAGTCCCTGATTGTGCACAGCTGAGTCCTCAGGGCACGGAGGAGCCAGCTGTCGCCTGACCCGAGGTGACTAATGGATGTTTTAGGAAATCCTGGTGGCACAGAGCGCAGGCATGAAAGCCATCCACTTACAGCAAATTGAATCTAATGCACAACCTGTTTCTCATTGTCTCTTTTTATGATCCTTCCAAATTATAATGGGGATCAAGAGTTTTTACAACTGCCCACTTGTCAATTCACACATCTGTCCACACTAATGTAGTGCTATAAATCCTCCTAATTGTGATCAGTGTGCTACACAGACGTACACTGATTCATTCATCCACAGAAAAATTCCCTTGAAGTTCAGACTATTCCACTAGAAACAGCCTCTATGTCTTTCTAGGTTATAGTGGAAATCAGACAGCCACACAGGTTTTCTGGACTAGTGGGACAGAATGATGCTGCACAGCACTGATACAGGAGTATAGATGGAGCGTTATGTAATTAATACCCCTCCTATGCAGAAACAGTAGTCAAGCCCAGAAATCCTGGCCTCAGCTGTAAGTGGCTCCTATAGTCCCATATAGACCAGTAGCTCTTGACTCAGCTAAAGCCTTTGCATAACTGATACTGTAAAAGAGGCATCCACTGTAATGTAGGTTTCATACAGTAACACCAAACCCCCACTACAGCCACGCAGCATGCAGAGAATCTGTCTTTTCTGTGTCTCACCCCCACCCCCCACACACACACACACCCACCCACACACACACACACACGCATAACATACAGCCCAAAGAAAGCCCTGTTTACCTGCTATCCCATAATTCACAGTGCTGGCAAGGACAGGTGACTGGTAAAGCCAAGACAGACGGAGAAAAGTGGTGCGGGGTTTCTCTTACCAACAAATCCCCCTTCTTCAAGAATCCTTCCTTTCCTCTCCCTTCAGCCAGCTTCTTCCAGTGCTCCAGCTTTCATCTTTCCAGTAAAGAGAGCAAGAGGAAGAGAGCAAACAACTTTAAATAATCAGCATTCCTCTTGGTCTTGTGTTTTCTGTCCGTCTCTTCTCTCTTCCAGATTTCTCCAGTCTCCAGGGGGGAAGCAGGAGCATCAGTGATACACTGCCGCGCGCTCCGCTGCAGGAGGCTGAACGTCAATCACACAGGTAACCTAGGGAACCGCTGGGCCCGCCCCCCCAGCCAGCGCTGATTGGTCGGCCCTGACAGAGAACCACAAGTCCTCGCAGATCCACAGATGGTATAGCGATGGTGGTGGGATCATGTACAGAACCAAACAAACAGTAGTGGATTGCGGTACTTGTGAACTCTTTCTCTCCTCTCAGTCTCGCTCGCTCTCTGACTTCAGAGCCTACTGCTTTATTTTACAGTTGCTTAGCAACAGAAATGGCATGTGTGAGTGTGAGTTGCAGAGCAGAAGAAGAGATGTGGGAGAGAGAAAGCGGTTCAAGTCCTCAACTCTCTCTCTCTCTCTCTCTCTCTGTCAGAAGTGTGTATGGATGTTGAATATTTCAGCTCTCAGCAGCAGAAGCAGGAGTCTTTCTCACTATTATAGAGGCTGTTATTGCTTCAGAACAACCTGCTACAGGCACTTACATTCAGCACTGATAGTTAGTTAAAACACATTACCTCAGTATACCTTGGAATGATAGGGGTGATTAAAAGAAAAGTACTGATGTTATCGGAGATAAAAATGAGACACAAAACTCTCGATTTAATCTTTAATTGTGGTGCATAAAATCCTGAATGGAAGTTAGGTTTTGAAGGTGCTAATGAATGGTTTATTGTTTATGTCAGTTAAATCCAGTCACTACCAGACATTCTCAGATTGATTCTTTAAAACAGTAGTGCGTATGAAGTGTACACTGTGTTCAACTCAAAACAGTTTATTGATATTTCGAAGTGTTCTGTCCAACTCAAGCTTACCAAATATGAGAAGTACATTTAAAATCAACTTGAATTTCCCTGAAGTAGAAACGGACCAGGATTTTATTTACCTGGTCTTTTTATATAGCTCTTCAGTTTGTTTACTGCAGAAATCAGATATCTGACTGTTGCATTTACATTTTGCAATGTCAACGTGGTGATTGCATCATAGTTTTGTGATGTGAACAGCTTGAGCAGACAAGTCTGCCTTCTAGATCTGAACACATTTAAGAAGAGTCTCTTTGATGCAGTTAGATGTGAGAAACTCCTCTCAAAGGAACTGACCTGCTAGGAACTGTCCTTGTCCTGTTCTAAAAACCTGTACTGTCAGACTTTCTATTACACAATCTGCAGTATACTACATGCTATGGTACACATATATCAGACAGTGAGAAGGCATTTAAAGAAATACATTTAAACAACATTTAAACATAGTCAAGACTAGACCAGAATGTTATTTGATGATGATTATCTGGTGAGTTTTATCATGCAGTTTTTGTTGTTTTTTGTCATTAAGGTCAGATTGTGTATCTTGCACTGAATTGTCAAAGTGAATATATTCACTGAGGTCTCCACTGCAGCTGCAGTCAGCCTCTCACAGTGCGCACTTGAAGGAGAGAAAAAATCTAGCAGTCTGAGAATAATAATAATAAAAAAGGCATATTATAAATATGGATATAGATAGAAGAAAACATATGCCCAGTGTTAGCTTAATGTGGTTGCAATAGAAAGTACAGCCACGGAGCCGTTTCAGACAGAAGCTCACATTTCACTCTCAAAGCTGTGGCTTCCTTTTGGTGGGAAAACATGTTAAAATAATAAGCACTTTTGACACATTCAAATACAATATAAAATTACACTACTTGCTATACTAAAATATTCAGGGGGTGTGGGTGATATGTTCAGAAGCACTCACCACACCCTTACAGAGTCACTGGCATGGTTACCAACAAACATTCAAGCCAGTAGCTCAGACAGTACTTAAGGAACAAATCAAACATGTTTTATAACCTTTAAGGGAACTAATTCTATTTAATTTAAATTAATAAGAGGAGAGTTTGTGTCTTTTTGCAACCATGTTTAGATAACATTGTTTAGTGTACTTCTTTCAAATGTGTTATTCCTACAGTATTTCGGTTTATAGGCTATCAATCGAATATTTAACCAGACTTTATTTCAGCTTCATGCAAACTTTTTTCATTCTTGATAAATACCAGCTCTGATACCAGATGGAGAGGGAATTGATCTGTGGAGATTGTAACATGGTGTTTCGCTCCTCTGGGCTACTTGAGAAACACAAAGCACTGTTCTGCATTGGGAGCGAGGTACAAAGACACAGCTCTGAACTTCTCACGAGAGGCAAACCTGGATGTGTGGGCCCTAAGCAGACAAGAACCCCTGATCTTGGGCAGGTAAGTAAGTCAAACTGATCTAATAACTAAAAAAAGAAAATTGCTACACATTACTTTCACATAGTATGTCACTGATCAAGATAGAAAGGATTTATGGGGCATCTCTGTCATTGCAATTAAACTTTGATACTTAGTACTATACTGATTATACAAAAAAAAAAAAAAGATCTGTGTTTTACTATGATGATTTTGGATTAATATCACTGGTATAGATGCTTAAAGTTGTGATCATTTTTAACTATATTACTGTTTAGTAGTTCAATCTACAGCAAGGCATCATATTCTATAAAATCATATATTTTATATGATTATAATGTTTGTAGCATTGCTGTTCTGTGAGAACCATGTATCTCTAAAAAGTCATCTTTTCATGAGCTCGGAAAAAATGCCATGTTTTCAGTTATGTGACAATGCATTTTCTCAGCTCACAAAGGAACACTTAAAACCCAAATTTGAACTTAAGTACAGCACTTGAGTAAATGTACTTAATTACATTCCACCACCAAGAAACAGGCACAGTGGAAATCACTACATGTGTCTTTGTGTGCAGCTGAGAGGTCAACGAAGGAACATCAACAGGTGGAGGAGTGTTGATACCAAACCAAAGTCAGGTAGAGCAGAGGACATACCGGCAACCAGTCAGATAGAGACTGCTGCTTTGCAAAGTCTCACAGATGAGGTAAACCATTGCACCAGCAAGCAAGACTCCATCTATCCTGCACTACAGCAATGCCAGCGTCTTAAAACACGACACAACAAGAAGCATTTATCCTCTTTTGTCAATCTTTTTGCTAATTCTCAGTAAGCTATTATTGTTTTACCTGAGATTAAAAAAATTAATTAATAGGAACCCAACATGGATGAAGGTGTCAAGGCAACAGCCACTGCAGGAATTTCATGGCCTTTGATTAAAAACTCATGTTTGAATATCATTATGTCAGTCAAGACACATTGGAGTAGGTACATCATACATACAAATATACACATGCAAGTATTTTAAACTAATTCATTAAAAGTACATTTTAAGTGTAAATATTACTATACAATATAAATTTATCTCTTCTGACTTTCAGTTTCACAACTTGAGGATGTCCGTTGAAGAACATCTGACAAAAAGGACCACTGATAATGAGGTGAGCTTTCATTTGTCACATAGCATTCTCCATTTCCCTCTTACTGTTCTGAGCCTTTCAGCCTATGGTATTTGGTGAGCACTTTAAAGTATGTCAAGGTGCTATAAGTGTGCACATTTCTTCTTTCTATATTGTAAAAGCTGTTAAATAATGGATTAAGTCATCAGCCAGTGGTGTCAGAATGAGTCACAGGTCACATTTTTATGATGCTGGATCTTGGGGTGTCAAAAGAAATGAATAATTTTTCTCCGGGGTGTGACATTTTTAAGAACCAACGCTGTGCATGAGTCTATTCATTTATAAACACGGCCTTTAGGCGAGTGGGCGTCAGCTGGGTCACAGTGAGAGACTGGAGGAGATGAGGGAAATGGCGACACTCCATGAGCACCAACTGGCCTTGATACATGCTCATAACAAGCAGCTGGAGCAGCAGAGAGACGGTGAGGAACAAATGCAATAAACCACTTGCGTCCTTGTATGCTGAATATTCTCTTTAGACTTTGTGTAAAATTCACTCAATGCTGATGTCAAAGATTGCTCTAAGACAGTGTGAATGTGTGTGTGCGCATTAGAGCTGGCCCATCAGGTAAGTGTCCTGTCTGAGCAGAGCAACACAACTCATCTGGAGAGTCTGCTGATGGAGCTCAGAGAGCAGGAGGAGAGAAACAAGGAAACACTGCAACAACTCGCTGAACATCTCCGCGCATTACAGTAAGTGTGTCTCTGTATACTACTCTTTTATATGTCAGGCTTTTAGATGCTCTTATTAAGAGTTTGCATCCTTTAGGTAAAAGTGCAGAATTATGAGTAGTAAACTATATATAAGCTATACTAAAATTTATAAGTGCTCAACATGCAAAATGGCCAGAGTGTTATGTTTTTATATATGTAAATGATATTAACAGATTATTATTAAGATCACTGATGCAGTGGTGTGTAAGCAGCATTTATTGCATCTCGAGGTTAAGCTGATTTTAAATACTTTATGGGCTTATACTGTTCGGTAGCTTAATCTCCTAACAATGCATCATAATTTATAAGCTGTTCACATATTCAGGATGAAAATTTTCATCTAAAATGTAACTAGTTACTATTTCTGTAATATAAATACAGTGAATACTTGTTTGAAATGTTATGGAGTAGAAGTATAAAAATAGTAAATGCTTAAATGATTAGTATGGCAATATTCTATATTTTTCTTAATGTAAATAAATCTCATGAAAAGACCGAAAACTAACTAGCATTCTCTGTTTTTCCAAAGCTTGATTTATCTTATTTTTCTGTGCCTTAGAGCTCCACTGGTATTCAAAAACTATTAATTAGACTTTAGTGAGTCACACCTTTGTATGTTGAGTGACGTGCTCCTTCACAGTAGGGATACCGTCTGTGGCTCTCATCTCCAGTATTTAGAGATATATGAACACATTGCTTGGTTTTGGTCTTTCGATAGGACTTGTTGACAATAAGGAAAAAAACAAACAACACAACGTTTTTTTAAAGTAAATTACAAGTACCTACAATTGTACATACGTAAGTGCTGTACTTGCCGCCACTGCTAGAGACTTCAGCACTGACTGTTGGACTGGGACCAAACCTGCAATATTTCAGTCTGTAGCCATTAACTGTGCTGCCAGTGCAGGAATGGAACCAACAAAGAATTTATTTATTGTGTATTTGTTAGGGGAAATTATGTCAGCAAAGATACATACAAAAATAAATGACTGCTTCTGTGGTGCTCTGCCTCCAAGATGAATATTTATTGAAATAAGTTTTTTTTCTCTGGCTGCTGGATGACTTAGAGCGTCTATTCTGCATTTCATTATGCCTGGGTAGTAGAATGAACTTCTTGTTGTAGGGTGGATTATGCCTAGGAAACTTTCCATAGATGCCACAATATGATCTAATTTAGATGATGTACTGTGTTTTTGTTTTCTTTTAGTGTGCGAGAAGTCTCTGTACCTGCTGATCAGCCAGATCCACGCAGGAATGAAAAGATACATCACGACAGCTACGAGTTAATTTCTTGTGCGGATGGCCATCTCTCTACCCAGATAAAGTATGCACCTACATCATGCAAAGGTTATTTATTTTAAATTGAATGGAAAAACAAGATGGAGTGCAGCTTTATTTCGCCATTTGTTTGGTTGCTACTGAGAAAATCAGTATGTTTACATGTGAATATGAATTTGCTCTGAGCTGCCTGGTTATATGAAGGTAAATCAGGTCTCTTTGTTGCAGAGCCCTGCGGCAGGCATACATCCATTCAGGTGGATCAGATCCAGCCATTCTGGCACGAATGATTGACCTGCAGGTCGAAGCCCAAAGTCTAGAGAAGAACCAATCAGCGGCAGCTAGCAAAAGTAAGACTCAGAGTGATGATGAACAGAAAATATGTACTGCTTGTCACTGTATATCTCTCTCTCAACACGACTGTGCTCACTAGAGCCTATACTAAATTTACTCAGCCTGATTTTTCCTCTTCCATCGTTATTAGATTCTGGTCCAGCATTTCTTTTCACATGATCATTTACAGCACATAATAACATACTGAATGCAATACACACACCCCAAATTGGATTAGTGTGTCTAGCAGCAACAAAGTAGATGACTCAAATTTGTGGTTGACCCTCCAGACTTAGGGTATAAAACTGAGGGTAAATTACCTTTTGGCCCTGAGCCGCATCGTTTTTGTCCTCGTTTCCAGAGGTAAAGCCTCCTCAGTGGTGTCCAAACTGGGAGCTGCTCGCTGTGGAGCAGGAGAACCAGAGACTGGAGGAGGAGATCCTCAGGATCCAGTTGGCCAGGGGGCAACACCATAACTGTGAAGGTTAGAGAGCTCTCACAAATAAGAGACAAAACATTAGATTTTTTAGATTGACACCCATTGACACCAACAATATGTAGATCAGTCGTAGTCTTACAGGTTAGGGTGGTTGTCCCCAAAGAGGACATCTTGTGTCTGTGTGTACTCCAGCAGCAGCAAGGACTGAGCTTGAGCTGATCCAGGGGGAGAACCTGCAGATTGCCAGTTTACAGACAGAGGTGGAGAGAAGCAAAGAAGCTCCCAGGCCCAGGAGACAGCCTCCTCCACTCCGACCCAAGACTCACACTAATGCACCTCTTTCATCGGTACAATTTACAGTTGTAGTCAAAAGTATTTACACAACTGAAAACATTCCCTCTGTTGCGTTTTTTTATTTTATAAGCTTGGAGTCATTGGACTTCAGTAGTCTTTAATCATGTCCTCTGATTATTGATTTCTGACTTCTTAATCAATGACAGTGTTTTTGACATTTATTCAGATACCGTACCTCTTTTTGTCCCTCAGCTCCAAGCCAGATCCTTCTCCTCTCCACTGGGAAGATGCATATCGAACTCCCTGGACTCTCTGGGTCCAGCTCCATATGACCCTGCGTCAGTTTAATCTTCCCCACCATGCACAGAATATCATGCAATTTACATATCTGAATCAAACTTCAGCTCACACCATGCAGTTATTTCTATACTTAACCCCACACAAATAGCCCACAGTCACATTTAAGTAACAAAGTGTCTGCAAATCCCATTAAATCATCTACTGTTTCAGCCCACTTACCTTTTTTGAGATTAAATAAGAGTAAAAAAAAAAAAAGATTTCCTCTGGTGTTTCAGAGCTGGTTTTGTGGTTTTCTACGACCTGGTGCTGGGAGCTGATGCTTCTCAGCAGGTGCTGCGCCTGGTGGCAGCTCTCTACTCAGAAGGTCAGGAGGTGGGACCACAGACGCAGCTGCCCCCTGTCCAGTGCCTGTCAGGATTGTCTCTACCTTACACCCACAGCTTCACCCCTAGAAACTATGCTCTCCTGTCAGTCAAACAGCCTGTACCAAGGTAAGAGCAGCACCTAGAGAAGACAACTTCAGAACAAGACTTGGTAAATAAAAATAAATAAAATTTACGAAACACCTTAGATTAGAAAGAAATTAGCAAAATCTCCGGTATCTCCATTATAGCTTTCCCATGTAGATAATGAAAAATGAGAAAACACTACCCAAACACGGGTAGTGTCTATGCATGCCACTTATGAAGGGGTAGGTATATAGCCTGAGCTCAACCCACTGAAAAGTTTATTTTCTTAAGAGGGAGTTGTTGATCAAGCATAGAACCACAAAGGCAGGTAAACCTGTTCCCCCTGTAGGATCCAGCCATCACCCTCCCTCTCTCTAGTGGTGGAGGTGCAGGCAGCAAGAGATGTGGATGTCTACAGCCAGGAGGTCTTCAAACTGGCATCCTTCGGCTGGACACAAATGGAACTCTTTGACCAATATAACCAGGTATAAAAGTATATAATAATTGTAATTACATGTGTTATATACATGAAAAAAAACTAAAATTAATTCTATACTAACTGGACATTTGTGATGCTATTTTAATGGCTTGGACTTAAGTGTTTTTAATTGTTGACTGTATAGTTATACAGTAATGTCCTCAGCTCAGTTAATATAATGCTATTGATGTTTATTAATCAAAAACCAGTGGTGTGTATAGGCAGTGGGTCTAAGTAGTTTTATTAAATTTTAAGACAAATAGTTTAAATCTCTGCACGTGAAGGGGAATTAATAGATTGATTGCACCATCTGGAGTTTAGCGTGAATCGACCAGATCATCATGCTGGTCTAAAATCACCATCTGCTGTGTCAAATTAACCCATTATCAAATACTCTTTGTATTAATATATAAGCTCTAGTATGTCCTAACATTAATATTTTCTCTCCACCAACAGCTCTGTAGTGGCCACTGGAGGGTGCCAGTGCGCAGTTTGCCTATTAGACCCTCCCTAAACCTTGCCCAGCTCAACTCAGTAGCCCAGGTATCAAGAGCTGTTTTGAGCAAATAACTGTAAGCAGCAGCTGCAACGTAAACAGTACTGACCATTATCTTTAAATTTCTGCCTAAATAGAATATCTGATCATTTAAGTTCAGGATTACGTGTTTTTGGTAGAGGATGAAGCAAGGCAATAAATTCCACACCTGACTGTGTTTCTGTAAACTTAAGGTGGGCAACATGGAGCTGTGTGTTCGTTTGGTCAATGGACGAGATGGAGACGTACAAACTCTGGCAAAGCCCGACCCAACCAGCACCGGTCACTATAAATATCCAACTGTGGTAGGATGTCGAACAGGGCCTGAAATTGCATCATGAACTGTTAAACTACAGAGAAATCTCTTGTTGAGAGTAATCATTGCAATTAAACGTTAGTAGTTATACACACCCTGGTCTAACCTTAATCCATTTGTGTGACTTAAATAAAGATGCTCTTTCATCTGTAAGCTGTGACTGTTATGAGTTGACAATATAAGCAACAGACCATAAGCTCCTATCCCTGTTAGGACGAGTGAGTTTCACACTGTAGAACACTGAAAAGCATCACCTAGGGATGTTTTGTTTTTGGATTAGCGTCTGCTACATGTCTTTTATTATGCTTCAAGGTAGTCCGTTTGTATACCTTGCCTTCAAGTACAGATGTCCTTACATCCTGTGACTGTCCAGGGATACACGGTTGTGCCAGTATCAGCTTCACAGCCTACAGGAGTGGATCAACTCTCTTCCCCTTTCACTGATCACCAAGATCCTCCAGCCACAGAGGACAGTCAAAGTTGAAAACATCTCTGCAATCAGGATGTAACATACCTGAACTATTATGCTCTTCCAAATTTTGTGGACCTGTAGATGAGGGCTCTGACCTTCCCTTGAAGGAATTACTTTCACTGCAGTTTTAGTCTGAGAAAAGTGTGGCAGCAGCTCATTGTTTATCATCCCTGTGCTCCCCCACCCAATAATGTGAAGAAATCTCTACATTGACTGGAGTGCATTCAATTTGTTTAAAAATATTTTAGAAATGTAGCTAACAAGTGATTCAGTTGTTTCGTAAAATGTCAGGAAACTAATGCTGGTCACAAGCTCCCAGAGCCTATGGTGGTGAAGTTCAATGTTTTGAACAGTCCAAAAGCCATAGTCTATGAGTGGTTCTCAAATGTTTTCACATCAAGGACCCCTAAACTGACAAATTAGAACGCAGACCCAAAACTGTTTAAGATTTTAACCCAGGGTCCCCTCTGATAGGGTTTTTGCTTTCAGATGTTTATAACTGTGTATGAAACCCAATTACCAAGTCATTGTTACTTATGGATGTAGTGACACCCCTCAAGGACCCCTGGGGGTCCCTAGACCCCACTTTGAGAACCACAATCAAGTTGGCGCACCAGTGTGGCGCCTATCAGTACATGTTTCACTTACTTCTAAACAGGAACTGCAGTCAGCATCTGATATCGTCCTCGCCTCATTGTGACATTTGAAATTCCCAGAAGGTCTAAATAATTAAGTGATACAAAATTACATATGCAAATTTTTTTTATTCTTTTTTTTTTTAAACTACAAGTATACAAAACTGGACAGACAGATCTATGAAAATGGATCTTATTTACAGAAACAAGTGTCGAAGGTGGAGAGGAGCTAGACCGGCATGCTGTGCTGGTTTTGAAGATCAGGAAAGAGATGACAATAGTCACGCTGAAGACTTGACAGAGGATGACTGGTTGGCAGGCTATGGGAAAAAAAACAAAAGATATATAAAAACACTTTTTTTATATAACTACACAAATATTAAATGCTTTAGTGTTCTGCCTGCCTATCGCTAGGTCTGCAGAGAAAGTGTTCTTAGATTGCCGCTTTGTCTTGTATGGCTCTTGGCTCTGCAGTTTTATCATCTCCAAATTTGTTCCCTTTTGAAACACATTTATACAAAGATTGAGATTTTCAAGCACTGCAAATAGGTTTCATTTGAGGCCCATGACAATTTACCACAACATAAACCTCAACCACAGTAACAGCTGATGCTGCCTATCTAGTTAGAAGCTGTGAATGATAGTATTATGGTTTACTTCTCTCCAGATGACAGCCACGTCGAGGGATATTTAGCTGTAAAGTCTGGTCACCTTGATGCCTTGTGATAACACTTGCAACAAGTCAGAAGGACAGATACTGTTTTAATGAGAGTTAAAGTTGGGACAGGCAATGTCAGGAGCATTGTTTTGTTAAAATTCTCTTTACATCCAAACACCACAGCATTGTTCTGACAAATGAAAATCCAAAGCTGTGGCTGTCGCAGGACTTGAGCACAACCAATCATTTAATTTGGTCTGAATGAAAGGATTGGCTGGCCTGCCTGCGTACCCTGTCCATGCACTTACTGCACAAGAAAATGTTTTGGAGCATAGCCTGAAGGGAGGGGGGATGCAATCCCCCCCCCCCCAACTTCCTTGAAGGCATTTGTAGTTTTGATCAGGCTTTGGAGGTACATTTCCTTATTACATGCGGCTTTCACACGTTTACAGTTACTGAAGAACAAACCTTTTAACTGAAACGTCACCAGAAACCAAATGCAAGTAGTAACTACTGCATGTTGAGCGCCATCTTCCATCTAAAGTACGTAAGACATAAACCTATCACTCGCCTCCTGTGATTTTGCCTCCTGGACTCCATTGCCGTTGCTGGCACTAGAGTCACTGCTGCCATTAACTGTAGCTTCCTGTTTCACTTGTTTAGCATCAGTGTCCTTTACTGGGCTCTCCTCCTCTGGTTTCCTCTGTGTAGAAACATAAAACCAGGACAAAGGGAGGAAAAAGACAAGACTGAAAGTTTCTGTACACGACAACCTTCCAAAAAAATAAATAAAGGGGTGGATATTTAGAAGTGAGAAAACAAATGCAGACACCAAGGAGCGGTCACTGATCAGTTATGTCAAGGTCACATAATTTGGTGTATCATGCACACAAATCAGCCAATATCAAATCATAATTTATAACATTGCATCACAACTCAGCCACCAACACACACACGCCACATCTCGGGGTAAGGGAACTCACAGAAAATCACTTCATACAGACGCGGTTAAGATTTGGAAAATGAACGAAAGCCATACCATCCCAAAAACCAAAGCAGGCAAGCACACAGCCATTGCAATATGCAGTGAGGTTCAAGGTCAGTTTCAGTATACATACATCTCCAGCATGGAGTCAGCTGTAATATGTTTATTCCTTAAGCAATTATTAAAAGTTTCTAATTAGCAGAATGGAGCCAAATAACTGCAAGTGTCACATTTTGACTGGCCACTTATGTCACATAACACACATTGGTGAAAGCATGAGATTAGTGGACCTCACCTTTTTCCTGACGAGGTGGGAAATGTCTGAGGGGGCTTTGGAAGACGAGGCGCTGCTAGATGGTTTGACAGGGATCTGAAAGAAATGTTTGTTTTGTTGGGAATTCATGTTATACAGTAAGCTGGGCATGTATGAGTTTTAAGATGGGCAATAATAAAGATGTCCTTACCTGGTTGGCTGGTTCAAATGCTGAGGATGATGAAGGTTCCCCATTTTCACATAGAAATGCTGATGAAGTTGAGGCTCCACCCTGCAAGAAAAAAAAAAAAATAATAATAATAATAGTCACCCAAAAGTGGCAGCTGCCAATTTTCCATCCTGCACTCCTTTTACCCTTCAGGTGGATTTTTAGACAAGAAACGTCAGGTATTGATATAACAGACTTAAGAGAATAGTTTCAAACCTGGGTGGTTTTCACCCTTCAACACACATACAGTTCCTTGATGTACCCACTAGTGTCTGCTGGATGGCCTGGGAGGCAGTGCTAGCCGTTTTCTGGCTCTCTTTGGCATCCTCAACCTTTTCCCTGATGTCAGGCAGAAGCTGCTTCAGCTCCTCCATTTCATTCGTCTCCTCTCCTGCCCCATCTGCTGAAGCTATCACTTCCTGCAACATGGCTAAACACATACAATGACTGATGAGTATTGAAAACAAGAAAAAACAAAAAGCAATCTTCAGCTCCCATGATTTGATGCTCTACTCTTAAGGGTGTAATACTTTACATTATTACATTCCCTACAATCTGCCAGTCAACTCGTTGCTTATCTACAAGTGCACATAGTCATTCTGCAAATTCTAGTCAAAGAAATCTTACCCAGACGAGTCTCAATGACTTTTATGGAACTGTTGTAGTGCTGGATGGCCTGGCTGTACTGATCCATGTAGCACAGGGTAGTGGCAACGTGGTAGTGGGTCTCAGCCAGCAGGCGACTGTGTGGAGGTAAGTGCTTTAGCTGTAGGGCAAGACACTCCTGGAAGTCTTCTAGCGCCTGGGGATAGTTACCTGGGGAACACGTGACCGAGATTTGGGACAATAGGGTCACATTTAGCTCTGCTACACTGCAGCATTTTTCAAGAGAAACAGTTGTCCTAGTGGTGAATGAAAGATTTAAATATATGTCCAATAATGACTGCGTTGTGTTTCTGAAAGTGCATGTAATTGTACACCTACACCCAACACTGCATCCTACGATTTAGGATGAGAAAAAGTTAACTGCAAAATACCGAAGGCCGCAGACCTTTAGAGGTGTGATGACCAAAAGAAGCTCACTGAACAAAGATGTTGTGAGGGGCCAATCCAAGAAGCCATGACAAATAATCAAAGGGTTCAACGGATTATCTTGTTCTTTAAGGAAGGGGTTGAAGTTTAAACAGGTTCATCCTGGAAATTCAGTTTGCTGCACGAAACATACCTGATTCAGCACTGACTTCTCCGAGTTTCAGATATGTCTGGGCTGCCATCAGCTGGTCGTCTTTGCTTTCCTTTCTGTGCAGATAAGTTAAGACAATTTTACTTCACATCTTCAAGTAGGGTGCTTATTAACATAACCAAGTCTGAATTCAGAGTTTCCCAGACCTGTTCTTATTTGACCAAGACCTTCATCTTGCAATTACCTTTTGTAGATGACTTTAGCTACTTCCAGCATCTCCCAAGCCAACTGTAAATTCCCAACTTCATCCTCTTCTTCCTGAAGGTGGGGGAAGGCATGTTAAATTTAAATATTCACATTTAAGTCAATCACACTGCCATGTATGGGAACTCACCTTATCTTCTCCATTTCTCTCTCCATCCTCATCGTCATCATCATCGTCGTCATCATCATCATCATCTGTTGACGCAACAGGAGGATAATGACCACATTTTTTCCTCCCCAGTGTGAATGAATTAGAAACGCAAGGCAAATGTGCTAGAAAGATATTTGCAAAATAGTTCCCCCCAAGGTGCAGTAAACTCTTGCTACAGTGCATTTTCCCCTTCACCTTTTTGTAACACCTAGAAATGTGGGTTTATCTCAAGAAATACTACTCTTGTAATCCACCCATCCACGCAAATAGTGCTCTGCATCCAAAGATCTACTGCCCTCAGGTCCTCATTGTCCTGTTCAGCCTCAGGCTTGGGTTCCTTATCTTTTTCTTCTGGCTTTGCCATTGTCTCCTTGCCATTCTGTTGTCCCACACTAATCACAGGAGCAACTGGGCTCTTCTCAGCTCCATTTACTTCAGCTTCTGGACTGAGCTTCTCTCTTCCCCACACACAAGGGAACTCGAGGGTTCCTTTGGCACATCATTTTCTGTTTTCACTTCAGTGTTGCCTCTTTCAGCCTCCGACTCAAGCTTGGTGTCAACTTCCCCAGTCTTTTCCTCCTCTGCCATTGCATCATACACCTGCTTTCGCAGCTCCTCTCTGGTTTTTTCTGCACCAGAGTGGCATGTGAAAAATGGTTCCACATCAGATAATTTAATAATACCAAGGTCAGTTCATCAATGACAATGCTCGTCAGAAAAAGTTAAACTAGTTTGTGAGGAGAAACTTCTATTCTAATGCTGCGTTTGTTCATGATTGACATGGGAGGAAGGAAACAACCTCTTGTATTTATGCCATCATGATGGGAAAACATCAACAGTAAGTTGTTGGGCTTCTTACCTGCACTAACACATGTACAAGTGTAACTTTTAGAGTAGTACGGAGTGTATTTACATGTCAGCTGATGAACAATGTACCATGCCAAAAATCGAAGGCCAGTGTTTTAAAACACACACATGTTAATTTAAAAATCATTTTTCTACACCTAAACAATAAAAACCTGGTCAAAAGCCCTTTTGAAGTCACTTCTGATCCTGTTCCCTTAATCAGGCAACCCTTTAATAGAATAGCACTTGATACTGACCATCAAGATTGTTGGCGCTCTCAATATTTGAGTTTTTAGGCTGCTCCTCTTCCTCAGATTCTTCTGGGACTCCCTCCAGCGCATTACCAAGGACACCGTTTTCCATCCTTCACCAAAATACAAAGACAATCAGCTAATCCAAAAGTAAATAGATACTGCTAACAGCAGAATGAAAGGAGGGTTGAAAATTGTCACTCTGAACCCAATTTAACAGTTGAGTTGCAATGATTAGTCTCCAACTATTTTGATAAATCAATTAATTGTTGAGTCACACAACTTTGTATCAATCTTACAGTAACACTACCTAATACAGGGAGTACAAATAATTTTAAAGGCGAGCAATTAAGGCAACCAACCTGGCAAGCTCCAGTAGGGACTTCCCACAGAGGAAAAAAGCCTCACCACACTCATCTGCAGTGTCCCCGTACTTTGCAGCCCTAGCAGATAGAAGTGCAAGTATGAATAAAGTTTAGGAATGCAGTCACAAGTAGAGGTGCAATTCATCTTATTTATATGCCTTTCATACTTAAGAATTTGAAAAGCTTTAAGAAGTTGTAAATAAGTGTACTTTCCATAACAAAATGCAGTGGCCAAATATCTTTATAAAGAAAAAAAAATTTTTTTAGTGTTAAATCAATGACAACGCTTGTCCCACGGCAACTCACAGGATGCTGCAGGCGTCCTGGAAGACACTGACAGCAGAAACGACATCGCCCATCACTAGATGCCGGTTCCCTGTGCCGATCAGTTTCTTTGCCTCCTCCATAGCGTCAACAGAACTGCAGGGGTAAAACAAACAAACAAAAGTTACATGTACAGTCGATTAATGTTTAATAATTACTAAAATGTGATGTACGGATACTCACCTGTCTGCAGCTGCTGATGAGCACGGCTTCTCCTCCGCACTGCAAGAGGAGATCAAACTTGAGTTGAATCAATGCAACAGAACTTATAAGCCAACTAACCGGATTCTGGAGTTTAACCCGGCGACACACCTAACGCTAACTTTTACTTCTGACTCATAGTTTAAACTACGTTTTATTGTCGTTAGTAGCGTCTGGTCGTTCGTCAACTAAAGTTAACGTTAGCCTACCTCTGGGTGGTGATAGTGATGTTTGTTAGCAGCACCTGCAGTCACTAACTTAACTAATCATCCAGTTATTTTCATAGTCACTGCCATTGGCTTTAAGTATGCAAAACCTAGAGGTTATGCGACCACTAATATTTATGCAAGATCGTCAACACTGACCGCGCTATGTAGCTAAATGCTAGCTAGCTGTACGTTACCCGTACATTGAGAAATTATAAGCGAGTCTCACCTTCCAGAGCTTGACGCTGCGGACGTTTCCTCTGGCATTTTTTCCCAGGACGAAAGCAGAGACAATGGACAGACAAAACACACGGTCTAGTGTGCAGCGAACTAAGTACAGATAGATCCCCTGTGATAGTCTTTGTTGGCGCGCTTAAATAGAGAAAAGAAGGCTTTCTATTTCCGCTTAACTTCGAACGCGGGAGATTGGAGTTAAAGGGGCCGCAGCCAGCAAGTGTCATGATACATTCACGGCCCGTGGGGGAAAAACCTTATATAGTCAAGGCAGCATACGAACATAACAGTATGGCGTTAAGATAAACTAAAAACATTCTACTGGCGTTATCTGTGTACTCACACAAGTCCTACACAATAAGTGGCTATTTTGTTTGAATTTCCATTTGATTAATTCATTATTCAATACGCCCAAGAGGTATCTATACTTCTGTATGCGCATCTATACTTAAAATAAAATGTTAATTGTTTACAATCATCAGATTAGGGAGAGGCGATAAAAACTAAGATTCCGTTGTCAAACGCGTACTTAGTAATTACCACCTGAAAGCTCAAGTAAGCTGTTCTCACTTGGGAGTTTCATATTTCCCAGCAGATGTATAACGTTACAGTAAATATGTCACGCTACTCTACATCATACCACGATGATCCGAATCATCTTGTCTTTATGGTGATTTAGCTCGCTGACCGTAAGCACGTCACCATTGGTCTGATCTAAACCATCTAAACCAGAGCCCTTTTTGTCGAAAGACAAAAAAACTTGAGGCGGTCGACTCTTTAGAAAACGGAACCAGGGAGGAGTGAATTCTCTCGATTCGCCAGAAAATTATGCCATAGCTTTTGTACGGAGAGAAAACGGCGCGCCCTTTTCTATTTCCCACCCGTTTTGCGTGAAGTCCCGCCCTAGTGCACTGTGATTGGCTAGCTCCTAACCTCGACGCGTCCTTGTGATTGGATCACATCGCGCAACTGTCGACCTGTCGTTGCTATGAATTGTAACGGACACATAATCATCGCTTCGAATCCCGTGTCAACCAAAACTAGTTCAATCAATATTTTAGATGACACAAATGAATGTAATTCAGACAGGCCTAATACATTGAAATGGTATTAAGTACATGCAAATGCTGTAAACGAAAGTTATTCGTTAGTTTCCCTTATGGATCTTTTATAAAGATGGTCATTTTTTCATTTATCAAGCATATATTATCTGTTATGCTTAAGCAATAGTAGTAATTAAGCATTGTTGTGCTCTATGTAACAGTACAATATTTTGTTTATCACAGACATTACTATTATCAATAGGCCTGTCAGTAGGTCCATTTTCTACTAATGGACAGCAACCCAAAATAAAGCTTTGTTATTGTTCATTCAACTTTATTGTCAGACTCTGGACTTAGAAGACATACTACATTATAAATACACAAACAAATATATCATTATACCAATGTTTCCACAGATGGTATTGTACGACCCTAAGACCAGATTTGGCAGCAGCATGAGAGTGGCGTTCTGAGAGTCATCCAGTCGACAGATACATTTGTACAATGGATTTCTCAGTAGAGGCTGGACTTGCAAGTCACTTGCAAAACACCACCTATGTTTTTAAAGCAGTATCTGCATACAGTCATTATAGGAAACCTGAAGCTTATGTATGCTCACTTTTTTAAACATAGCCCACAATGGTTAGTTTAGAGAGGAGTGCAGTATGCTCTAATGCAGTAGTTTTTTACATCAAGGACCCCTAAACTGACACATATTAGACCATGGGCCCCAATTTGGTAAGATTTTGTCCCAGGGTCCCCCATTTAGATGTTTTACTACAGAAAGTGTATGAATGTCATTGTGTTAATTATACTACAAAAATAAAGTATTCCCCTTGTTGCCGGGGACACCCTGGAACCCATTCAAGGACCCCACTTTGAGAACCACTGCTCTAAAGAGACTTATCTGAACTATATTAAAAAATATCTTAACATGGTCTGAACAGATGTATAATTTTCTTGCCAATATGTTTGCTTCAGCATATAATATATACATATATATTTACAGGCATTGCTGTGTGAAGAGAAGCCGACAGGTGGTAGTGACTGCCACACAGCTGGAATCCAATCACAAGCACGCTTTGAAAAATGACTCAGCCAATCATAGCACAGAAGGGCGGGACTTTGTGCAGAACGGGTGCGGATAAAATTACGCCTTCAACCGGCCACACCTTGCCACCCAGAACCAGATTGTGAGCATTTGTGAACTAATATTATTGCTGCAAGTCACATAATCGGTTCGTTTTATACTAAAAAAGAAAATGTTGAATACGGGAATTTGAAGGCCTCGTTGGCGCAGTAGGCAGCGCGTCAGTCTCATAATCTGAAGGTCGTGAGTTCGAGCCTCACACGGGGCACATGTTTTTCCATTCTGTGGTGTAACTGATTTCACTCTTTTGAGAGACTGCAGTATCTTCCTTTGATGAACCGATTAGTCGCGTTAGATTGTGCCGTGGGTGAAAAAAACAAGCAAGCAAACAGCAGTCTACACCACCTGCAGAGTCCTCGCACATAGTAATAGTTGCCCTTTTAAAGGTTAAGCAGTCCATCAAGTCCCAAACAGTCAACAAGTTCCAAACGGATTTGGTTGTCTTAGCCATGCTAAATTACCTAGGTAGCGAAGCAACGTTAATCACTTGCTTCTAGATTAACCTGAACGTTATGGTCAAACCTAGTTTGTAGAAGTAAAACGTCGAAAAAAATCGTCTTTTTGTGAAATTGTTAACAAAAGAAATGTACACTTCTGATACTGATTGCATTGACACTGATGTAAAGTATGGATTTTACGCCTCAACGAACCTCTACCAAGCTGTAGCAAATTAACGTAAAAGTTAGCCAGATGTGAGGATTATTGGTTAAGACCAACGGCCCTGGTTAAACCAATACGATAGACTGTAGGCCTCGGCCTATATAAATATACCTTTATACAGTCAATGGTTACGCCCCTATAAGTTAGTGGAAATCATGTAACATACCACAATAAGTGCATATAATTATCCGAGAAGTCTGCACATTATGTGAACGTTGTAGTTATTTTATTTAGGAGCTGTTTAAAAAGTGAAAAACTGCTATGACCCAAAGTGACCAGTGGGTGGCACCAATGCTCCACCTTCAAACCGTATTTTCCTCTACACTTAACTCAGCATTCAGTCAAGTCTTAGTCTTATCTATAGAAGCAGCTGTTGTAAACTATGTATGAGAGAGCTATAACAAAATAAATAAAAAATAAAAACCAAACCCAATACGTAAAAAGCTGATTTAATGGCACATAACTTAGTGAATTGCCTTTTTTTTCTGTATGCTTGTTATGACATTTATGGTCTTATTGTTTTATCAGCTTCTTAACCGTAATAAGTTATTATCAACATTACGATAGTTACTGTATAGTAGACACACGTTCTCAAACAAAATAGTATTTTGAAAGTATGTTGAGTGCACATGTCAATTAGGTAGGCTAATTGAGCTGGAGTGAGTGAGAGAGTCAGGGAGAGAGGAGGGCGCCGAGTCTGACTGTGGGCTCCAGACAGACTTACTGGCTGCAGATGAAGTTTTCAGTCACACTGCACCGTGGGACCTTTATGATTTCATATTAACCGCCCAGACTCTCTATCTCCTGACTGAGATGTTGCGATGTTCCGTGCAGCCTTACAAAACGTGGACTTGTTTTGGCTGATTTTGTTTTATTTTGTTTTTCTACCGGAGACTGGCTGTAGATCAGCCGATGTGGACAGCTGTCATGAGGTGAAGACAGCCTACATGATGCGCCAAATAGGCCCGGTGGAGCTGGTGCCAGACAGGCCGGGAACAGGTCAGTCAGTCCCTTTTGAATTATCAGTAGGAACTCTATGAGACTTAAAAAGGCAACGTGAAGTATGAAATACACAGAGGTGGTGTAACTGATACATTTATGCATTTATGCATTGATGCTCTGTGCTTGAGTAGTTCCATTTTGTGCTACTTTATACTTCTACTTCACTGCATTTCAAAGTCAAATATTGTACTTTTTACTCCACTAAATTTATTTGACAGCTTTTTACTTGTTACTTTGCAGATCCAGATTTTAAATACAAAACATATGATGAGTCTAAAATTGCAATGCAGTGTTATAAATTAAACTACCACTACAATATGAAGTTCAGATTGGCTCCAACTAGACCAACTCCACAGCATTAAAATGTTCTTTGCATATTAAATATGCATAACTAATAACAATATATGAATAATAATAATAGAAATAGTAGCCTATATCGTAATATAACACTGAGGACCATTCTGCTGCATAATGACTGCTTTTTTGGTATTTTAAGAACTTTTTGCGTATAATACCTTTGTACGATTTTGGTTGAAGGACTTGAAATTTAGTATATTTTACAAAATATTCCTAACAAATTCCCGATATGAGGGACCATCATTGCACAGCATAAGGCCAACATTTCTTAGAGAGAGAGAAGCTATTAATGTTGAAAACTAACCTAAATAGTCTGCAACACTTACATAGAGCTCATGAAAGCATACTTGGCTATAAGTGGTGGTGTTAAAGATGCTGTTTTCTAAATGTAGGCCTAAATGCTCATGTGAGATTTTGTCTGGCTCTTTGCACAATATTAAAGTCCTGCCCTGTGGGTGCAACCAATTGTAAAATGTTGAATGGCACCTCATAATTTTGGATGCAACTGCACCCAAAAAACGAAACGAGAAAAAGCTGACCCCGTGGAGTAATTTTGTTGGCAGTAATTTCAGATTTCCCTGGGTAGTGGAGAGAAGTGGTGGATGACCTTTAGTTAGCTAGCTTTATTTTCTTCTAATCTTGACCGAACATAAAGTCTCCTTGTAATAATTATACAGGTCATGAAAGGAAATCTGAGCCAGACGTCAGTAGATAGCACTTGTTAGCTTGTGATTGTTAACAGCTAGTTAACAATACATGGTGGTGACTGCGGTATTTCCAGGCAGAGATGTCTGCTAATTATAGATGGTTATCACAGTAGAATTGTTCCACAACAGTGTCTTCTGATCTGGTTTGGCCACAGATGAATTTACTTAAGAGTGATGTCATTTTAAGCCGGCTGTGAAACAGTTGAATAGCGAACACTTCCAAAAGCACCACTCCCTGGCCTGTCATTGGTCTTTGCTTCCTGGATATTCAAGCTGAAAAGACAAGGCAGTTCAGCTGAAAAAGTTTTCTAAATTCTCCCTAAACGCTATTGATCAGATTTAAATCTCATTGCAAAACCTGAGCTGGTGACCGGGTAGTCTGGCTTCCAACCAACTTACTGTCCTACTTGCAAATGAGAAATGCAACATGGCATTACTGATACATGGTAACTATCTCAGTTATGTATTTCATGGTCAGCCAGTGCTAATAGGAACAGCTTAAAGTTTGACACAGGTGTGGTGTGTGTGTGTGTGTGTGTGTGTGTGTGCGCGTGTGTGTGTGCGCAGACATAAGTGAGCAGTCTGTTCCTCTCATCTCTCTCTCCCTTGATCTCAGTCAGCTACCTGACAGCTTGGCTTACAGCAGTCTACCAAAGTCAGACTGCTCCACACACACACACACACACTTTGGTGTGAGTGATGATTGGACGTCCATTGTGCATGTCATCGTGTCAGGTCAACAGGCTCATCTTTGAATTATTTTTGTGATGTCATCTAACTGCTTAGATGATTAATTAATAAGATGGATTCTTATTGGTTAGTTAATTAAATGAATCTCTACCTCTGAGTACCTTCCGACTAGCCCAGTGTAAAACAAGTGTATTGGTGCGGTTCATTCTGAGCCTTTATTCTAGAATATAAATGAAACATTTATCAGACATTTCATTGCTTCTATTTATCGTAAGAAACTTGGTGAGTACACCTACATTTTTTAAAAATCAAGGTCACAGAAACGTCTGCAGACTCCTTAATTCTTTCCACCCACCATTCATTGTTGGATTGAATATGACCATGCCTGAAGCTATTTCTTCTGCCTCTGTCTTTCAGATGAGTCTCTCCGAGTGTGTGAGCACCCTGGGCCCAGCTGCTGTACCAGCAAGATGGAGGACAGCTACATGGCGGCTGTTCGCAGTGAGACTCAGCAAAAGATGCGATCCTACAGCTTTGAACTCAAGTACCTGATTGCTGGACACACCAAAGCCTACCAGGGTAAGGGAGAGTAATGGAGATCCAGAGGAAGAAGGGGTGTAGACTTACTGGAGACTACAATACATACATGAATTAATTTCTTGCATTTTTTAAGCTAAAACCATGGTGGAGAAATGTTTTCCAATTGCTCAGCAAATTTTAAAATTGTCTGTTGTGGGGTGAAGGTGTGGAGGGAGAGCAATGTACACATAACAACTGTAAAAGTCAATGGACTCTTTTTTTAAGCAAGAACACAACCAAAAATCTGCTGCTAGAAATAAGATAACTATTGGAAAAAGATTCCAACATGAACGATAATAAAAATAATTATTGGTTTCAGCCCTAATTGAAAAAATCAAATGATTGTTGCTGTATAATAACTTTCCTTATGGACTAACATTAAATTTTTAATACTTAAAACATTACTGTGACTTGTAGCCCACACTGGAATTAGAGCCATAGTTTTAGGAATGCAGGGCTAAATTCCCAATAAAACAACTTTATTTTCTTGTATTTGAAGTGCTAAAAGATGATCGACTCTTTATTAAGCAACGGTAAAAATGATTTGGTTGCAGTTCCTCCAACATAACATTTTGCTGCTTCTTTCTGCTTTGCATACTTTTAGTTGATTTTTTTTTTTTTTTGCCTTTGGACTGAATAAACGAGTAAAGTGAAGACATCACCTTGGCATAATAACTTTCCTTATTGATTTATTGTGATTAACAAACACTAATAATAGTATGTGGGTGATTCAGGAATCTAAATCAAATTGACTTTAATAGCAGTTGTGATTTTGGTGTTGTAACTGTTCTGTGAAGTGCCTGAAGCCCCCCTGTCATTCTCACTTTGTGTGTTCATCATGAAATAGCTAGTTTGTGTCAGGGTGGTGGTGTGAGGCCAGTTTATTTTGTGAGGCGCCACAGTGGCTAGCCAAACAAACAACTGATGTTCGATTGAGTCTTTGAGAGAGCAAACTCTCAGAGGGAGCAGCGGAAAACTTTGTTACAACTCTCCGCTCTCTTTCTCTGTCTGTCTGTCTCTGCGATAATCAGGTTTTGTTCTTGACCAATGAGAGAGCGACGGACGGAGAATGTTTACATTCAGTACGTATCCGCAGCAAAGTGTTGTTGCTGCGGGCAACAGCCGGTCTCTAACGGGCTGCTCTGAATAGGAGGAAGAATACTCTGCTTGTCCACTTGTCTCTCAACGCTATTCACCAGCCTGTGTGATCGTGTGTGTGTGTGTGTGTGTGTGTGTGTGTGTGTGTGTGTGAATGTGTGCGTGCGCATGTATTCCACAGATTATGAGAGGGTTAGAGTTGATGAAACCCAGCAGGCAGACATGGCAAACATGTACCTCTCTGTTTTATTTTTTTCTCTCTATCTATCTCTCACTCTCTCCTCCCCTGCTACATCTGAATGCACTCAGGCTCAGTTTCAGCTGCTATTTATGCCTGGTGGATGGCTAAACCATCCATGGGTAAAATTAATGCAAAACACCCATACACAAAGAAGGGCTCAACAAGGAGAAAACTGCAGCAAGTAAGTTTAATGTGCTTAGGTTTGTAATAGATATTATTCTCTGTAAATACTGCAGCCACAGCAGTACAGTGGAGGTAAATGGGATTTGTATTTGTAACACTGCTATTGCCGAAAAGAAAACATTCCTTAAGCAGAGCAAGGGGATAAGTAATGTTAAAAGCGCTTTTTAGTTGTTTTAGTTGAGATAACGGCTACTTTCTCACAAGAAAGTAGTTCCAGGTATCCCAAAACCAGCACAAATTAATCAAAAAGTACCAGCACTGCTAACTACTTCTTGTGGCAAGTGAGAAAATGTGCGCTTTTATGTTTTGGGTGAGCCAACCCTTTAATGAATGAAATTAATTTTACACGACAGCAGTGCTCTTCAACAGCTGAGCTAAATCTCAAAGGATCCCCTTTCCAAAGCGCAGTGATTAAAACCCACTAGAGAAACTGAGACATGCCCAGAGCGGTTGTAGTCGGGCTCAGTTTACACCCTGTGGATTACTTCAGTGTGTGTGTGTGTGTGTGTGTGTGTGTGTGTTTGTGTGTGCGTGTGTGAGAATATGTGTCTGCATGCTTGCGTGTGTTTCCCCTGGCACTGTAAGACCCCTGCGCCCTCTTCTCCATGTCGCAGCTGTCATCCAATCACAGAGGGTAAAGAGCTAATCACATGACCTCAGAGTAGACTTTGCCATGTCACTCGATGCCGTCTGTATTTGTGTTGCTATTGCCAGGACATGGGTATGCAAACACGTAAAAGTGAGACGTTCTCACTCGGTACTAGAGCCCTGCCACTGCTACTATACCGCCTCATCCCCCCGACCACCATCAAAGTCAATTCATTTCATTGAATCTGTTTGTGTGAAAATGAGTATGAATGTACAGAACTGAAAAAAAGTACCATGGTGCTATTGTGTAAACTCTCTCTCGGATAATGATTTCCTTGTTTAGTAAATATGTGCTAATAAAATGGGCTAATAAATTGCTGTCAAGAGTCAGGTGGCTGCTGCTGTGATGGTGAAATACAAAGCTGTTATGACATGAACACACACACACAAACATGCACCTTGACTGACTGAATGACTTAGTGAAAGTCACCGATAAATGTGCTTCCCTCTCTCTCTTCCTCCCGGTTTGGATGCCATCTGATTGACATCACCCTTTTTACTTGGCAAGGTTCAAACATAGACACACACGCTGTCACACGCCACGGGTATACAGCCTCTGTTAAGGGTGCTGTCCACTTTATTAGACCTTGTCGGACACAGTGGATCCTGAGATTGGGCCTCTCATTATCACCTGACTAAAGATAACAGGGTAGTGAAAACGGACTTAGGGATGAATTAAGTCCTGTGCTATTTTGGCTTGTATGCGGCAGGATAAAGTCAGTCCAAGGTTAGCGAGACAGACAATGTGTTACAAGGAAAACTAATAAATGCACAGATGGAAATGCCACATCTTGCATGTGGGAATTACACGTATCTATGTCAGTCATGCCCTCAATCAAAATTCAAACAGTTTTATTTAGACTTTCTATATATAAGTTACATGACAAACAGTATTTGATTGTGTCATATATGACCATATGTGTATCTGGTATAGTAGCATATGTCTTAGATTAGACATTAAAGGGACTGCTCAAAGATTTCACCTACATATATACAACTGTGCTGTTAAGACAGCTATTAAATATTTTTGGTTGCTGTGTTTATTTTTTTCAGCTTTGTATAATACACTAATTGATATTTTGATGTTTGATGTATTTATTGCTTATATGCTCAAAGTATTACTGGTGTACCCGTGCACATAATTTGAACCATCAAGCCAGATGCCAAATTCTGAACACTATTAACAAAAACGTATCTTTACTTTTATACCAAAACTTTAATATTTCTCTAGCCAAGAGATTATTGAACAGAAGCAGTTCAATAGTCGCAATGTATAATATATATATATGTATACTTATTTTGGAAAACAATTATTGAGGAGTGTCTTACAAAACATTGACAGCATTCCTTGATTTGTTTCACAGAAGACGGCTGTTCCTCATAATGTTTTTTTAATGGTGCTTTCAGACCAAAAGTGACAAAGGGCGGTGAGTTTACATACAAAGTCAATGCAAAGACGCGTAGAGCCACGATTTCTTGTTTGGCGGCGCGAAGCGACGCGAAGCGACGCGAAGGTTGCGGGGGCCAGCGACGCGAAGGAATTCAATTCAATTCAAATTAGCTTTATTGACATGAATTCGCGTGAGTTGAATATTTTCTGTCAAGCGAGAAATTTGCATGACGCTGAGTCTATAGCCTATCAACGTTGAGATTGGCCGTACGTCACCGACAGCTTCAGAGCGTTGTGTGGAGGGGGCTATTGAAAATCTGCTGGCCGGCTGAGAGCTGCTAAACTTGGGCTAGAGGAGCAGGGAGCAGCGCTCCAGCTTTCAGACAAATAAACACCCGTGGTCGGACTGGACTTTGCTAACAACTACGCCGTTTGCTCGCAGAGGAGCTCGGAGTAAACTGCTTTCATTAAATTAGCTTTTTACTTTAGTTTTTAGGATTACAACGTTGATTTATCCTCACTCGAGCTTTTCAGCAGCTAGATTCCGTGCACATCCGGTTCCACTGTTGTTAGCGTCGTTTGGCACTACTTCATATTTACATAAAAACCGGACAAAACTGGACATTGCTGGGAGAAAAGAAAGAGAGGAGGTTGAACTACCTGGTGAGTTAAGAAAACATGTGTATGTAACTTTAGTCCAGCTATCGTTGTACTTTACTGGGACCAAGTTAGCATAGCATAGCCCTGATTGATCCGAACTCTATTAAGAAAACAAACATTTTAGAAGTTGTTGTCCTGCTGTCTTGCTGACAGACCTGACAAAGCATGAATTCATATGTTTATCAAAACTGCATCATATTGTAGTTATTTCAGCATCAGTTTGATCCGTTTATTGCTATTTAATCACAGCAAAATGTTTACTTTGAGTTCATACAGCTGTAGTAATGGCAAGTTGTTTTAATTAAGATTATTGCGTTAAAATCGCACGCGAGGAAAGCGTTGCAAAGCGAAAATTCGCGTTTGGTCTGAATGCGGCATACAGGTGCGTTCCCACCGAAAGCGTATCCAGCGTTTTGGGCGGCTTGATTACATACAAAGTCAATGCAAAGACGCGAATTCGCTCCGGGCGGCGCGAATGAGGCGCAATTCGCTGATTCGCGTGAGTTCAAATTTTTCAACCTGGGCGAGAAATTCGCTTCACGCGATGCTGCGAAAGCCTATCAGCAGTGACATTGTCCAAAGGTCACCGGCGGCTTCGGAGCGTTGTTTGGAGAGGACCAGGCCAGCGGTGTAATGACAATCCGCTGGCTGACGGGGAGCTGCTAAGGAACGGGGAGTAGCGCTGCAGCTTTCGGAGAAATAAACACCCTAGTAGTCTGAATTCTGCTCTAACAGCTACGCCGGTCACCAGCGGGAGGCCGGGAGTTAAATGCTTCTATTAAATTAGAAGAGCTAAATTAATGTAAACCAGGGGGCGTTCAGAGGACGATGGGGGGCGCTGGAAGCAATATTTTGGAAGTGGGGGACGCTGAGCTGCTTTCTGGGGACGTTTGTTGGTTGGAAATTCTAAGGCGAGTTTACACTTAAGATACACAACAATACGAGTTTAAACTTTAAACTACTTGCAAAAAACTGTGGTCTGCAACATTAAAACCTGCCAGTTTAGTCCACTGCGACTGGACGAGACTGTATTTTTTCTTTGTCAACTGAACGGGAGTATAATCTCTAAAAGTTTACCCACATGGCGTTTACTGTGGAAACTCTGGAAAATTGACGCTCTCTTTCTTTGTGGAAAAGTGTTTATTTCTCTGAGGAATACACCGTGAACGTCTTATCACAGCGGTTACACATTTACAAGAGGGAAATTCCGCCGTTAGACTCACCCTGGAAGCAACTTCGCTGCGACACCAGCCAGTGATGTGGACCCACCTCTCGTTGTGAGTCACAGTTTGTGCCAAAGCGGACATACACAGTAGTTTCAGTAGGCTATAAAAATGTAACGTTAAAAACTAAAGCCCTCTCTTGCTCTGTTGGGGATTGTAAGCGGCAGTTTATCAGAGGTGCTGAAGTTAACATGTGTGGAATTATTCGTGAGCTTTCTGTCTGATCAAAGGTGTCAGCATGTGCGGCCTCCTCGTCTCATTCAGTTTTCTCTGTTAGACGGCAAGGGGGTAACTTACTTCCAGCGAATCAGTAACATAATGCAGCCTAAGGCATGTAGTAAACTATTATGAATCCTCTTTAAATAGGCTAATGACGTTAGTCTCCCATTATGACTTGTCAGAGAACTCCGATATGTGGGAGAGATTCTGAATGTGCAGATAAGTTACAGTGTTTCCCATACGTTAATTTATTTGTGGCGGCCTGACACAATATCAATGCTGACCGTCACATACTGAATTTCGATTTTTTTTCCTAGACCTATTTAAAATCGTATTTGAGCTGCAGGCAGCGCGTATTGGCGCAGCACATCCTCTCGCTCGTCATCCGTCCCTCGAACTCTCTCTCCCTCCATAACACAGCTGCCCAAATCTGTCCAACACAATGCTGTCAATGTCGGAGACTCAGCTATTAAAAGTTGTTAGCAAGCATGTAAGGAGCCTAGCTAATAAGGAGAGCTATGATATGAAGTTGTTAACAGATGAGCTAATAAAGTCCAGTCAATAACTGAATTAAAACGGATTAATTTATTACTGAGATGAAAAGGGGCCACAAACACATTTAAATAGGTTACTTCCCCACAAAAGAGGTGCTAAGACTTAATCATGTGTGTTGACTCAGCAGGGATGATATTAACTAAGTTGATCTACAGGAGAAAAATATTTAAAAGCAATAAGAATGCCCAGAGCCTCACTAGATTATATTCTATTATAATTATATATTTTGAATTGTCACCTGCCACCTGAATTTTTAGACATTTCCACCATAAATTGGTGCAGAAAAGCAGAAATTGGAGGAGAAATTTTCACCAGAATGCAGGAAATTAAGTGTTTAATGCTCAAAATCTACCTTTTACATGTTTTTAATAACAATAGTAACAATAAAAAAAATCAACAATATTCAGGGAAAATAGCAAACATCTTTTTTGATGGGGGCAGTAAGGGACCTGGTTAATGGATAGGGGGGCGCTGGCCCAAAGAAGGTTGAGAACCACTGATCTGACACTTTGCTCCATACTGAAATATGGCAATCCAACTTGTGGATACATTGCCATTAAATCTGACACAGACATTTATGGTCTCCAGAAGATAAACACCAATGTCTTTGGTGATGCCCTGACATTTTCTCTAGGGTTAGTGTTAGATACTATACTAGTAGTACACTAGTCCACAAGCATGCTTGGTACACTAGTTGTTCCTATTCCAGCAAGACGAAGGGTCATTAGATATTAGAAAACTAGTAACTTTGCAAACAGTTGTGGAGTTGTTGAGTAGTTTGTCACTATTGTACATGGTACAATAAATTGCACGTTTGTCTCCCTTTCTTCCTGTCTTCTCCCTCGTTCCAGAGACCTTTGGGTCACTCGTGTCATTCACATCTAACCTGACCAGCACTCTGTTCGACAGTGCCTACTCTGCTCTGGCGTCCGACTGTCGGCCCCATGTGTTTCAGCTGTTCAGCAACATCAAACGCCACCTTTCTGGAGACTCTAATTCCTCATTGGAGAACAGTGTGCGTAGGTTCTACAATGACCTTTTCCCGCTGGTCTACCGCCGCCTGCTCAACCCTGGTATCGGCCACATGTCACCCCAGTCCTTTCATCCCCCCTCCACCAATCACGACGATTGCCTCCGGATGACGCGGCAGGATGTCAGCCCATTCGGACCCCATCCTCGCCTCCTGGTCCACAGCTTGTCCCGTGCGCTCGGGGCGGGCCGAGCACTGAGCCGACTGCTGAAGCTGGCGGGAGAGGTTGTGAATGCAACCGAGAAGGCAACGTTATCCAGAGAGTGTGGGCGAGGCTTAGTGAGGATGCAGTACTGTTCCCACTGCAGAGGCCTGACACTGATACGGCCCTGTACCGGACTGTGTATCAACATTATGAGAGGATGTCTGGTAAGTGTTTGTGCATTTACTGTTTGTATGTGTTTATCTGTTTTAATATGTGTGCACATTTGTATCATACTTATACTTTACACACTAATACTAATAAAATTCAATATTGGATTCTGTATTTGTGTCATCATCTGTGCATGTTCTCTGTCACTGAGTCATCAGAAATTTCACATTAAAAGAATAGTATGACATTCGCTTTCTTGCTGAGAGTAAGAGAAAAAATTTGATCGAAAGATCACATCTGCGGATTAAGTATGGTGCTAGAGGCAGGAGACAATTAGCTTAGCTTAGCATAAAAACTGGGAAACTTCTCAATTTCGCCAACTGGCATGTTATAGCTTGTTTATTTAATCCATATACAAGCAGAAATTTGAAAAAACAACAATTTGCAGTTATGTGATAAGAAGGATTTAAGCATAGCTCCCAAAAAAATTTAACTATTCCTTTAAACTAACTTGCCACTTAATTATTTTAGATATATATTAGTAATGTTTATTTGTTACTATTTGTAATCTCGTTCCAGATTAAGAATTTGGAGGATAGCAAAACTTTATTTAAAGTTATTCCAAGTTGTGTGTGTGTGTGTGTGTGTGTGTGTATTATAGCTGATACTGTTTTGGGTGAATGGGAGGCCTCAAAGTATTTGTCCCCCTTTGCCTCTGGAGAGGCATGTAAAAACATGTGGTAAAGCTTCCATCTCTCACAATACTGAATCAGTCATTCACAGCATTTTATCATCAATAAACCATTCCCATATTACGTGACTGACAAATAACAAGAGCATTGCTAAGAGAATTGGCAGTGTCTTCCGTGCATTTTGCTGGGCTGCTTCGAAAATTGCTGGACAGTTTTAACAGCACTTACAATATAGAGACTTCTTTATAGCACAATGTTGGAAGATGGCACTGTATATCCTGCTTGAGAGTTTCTTGGAAGCAAAGAAAGTGTGATGCAAAAAAACACTCCCATCATATATATCCTATTCAGTAAAGTAAAGGAAAGAGAAACACACAGCAAAGTCAAGGAGAAGATGAGGGACAAGTAAGAACAGCCTCTCTGTGACAGAAGGCAACTTGGTTTATGGAAAATGCGGTCTTGGCTATACTGTCATGAGACAGAAACTGCTAGTCATTTCAACCAGTGGCTCAGTTCCATCCATCCATTTGTTTTTTCTAATTATAGCAACATGTCACAATCAATTTGTCACTTCTAGACTGATTTTGAAGTATGATATATGAAACACATCAAAGCCAATTTACCAGCTTTTAAGAAACTAAATGTAACATTAAAACATGTCCTTGTTCTCTTTCTCCTCTTCTTCTTTCCACATTTGTCAACTATGCACCCCATTTCTCTCCTCCTCCCTTATCTGAATTCACTTTTCCTGTCTCCTCTATTCTAGGTGGGAGTATCAGAGCTTGGCACCCCCTGGGGGAGTTTGGTGTTGTTGCTGCAACGGTTAGCTGCTACTTTAGCAACCAGCAGCAACCACAACAGCCTGGAGCTGGCTCTGTTAGCAGTCCGAAATCATGTGAATGATGCTATACTGCACGCTCAGCTGCACGGGCCACGCATTACAGCCACAGTAAGCAGAGGGGATAAAGGGATGGAGGGGAATATGTATCCAAGTGGTTGTCTTTTTATACTGTATACTTTACATTGTTACACAAAATACAGTTTGAACTGTGTTTATTGATGCCAGTCACTTAAAAAGGTTTAAATAATTAAGTAATTGTGCCCCTGAAATGTGTCACTTGAAAGGGATCAGTAACAGACTGCTAAACCATCCTTACTCATACGCCCCAATAATAAAGTCATTTGAATTTTGGACACAGAGTGAGGAAGGCCGTGGGTTTTCTTTCAGCCTGGCAGTTGGATCTTCTCACAAAAGCCTTGTACCTAGATGGGCTAAAAACAGCCTCATTCTTCAGAGAATTTGGGGTTCCCCTCAGTCTGTGTGTGTGTGCGAGTGTGTATTTGAGTGCGAATACAGATCCAGTGCCAGACAAAGACTGTGGTTGGCGGGACAACCGATACCCAGAATGCAGCTTGGTTCTGAGTGATGAGAAAGTTTCTGTGGCTAATCTCTAGACAAACAGACGACACACAAACACATGCATGCAGGCACACACTGTTGGAGGAAGAAATAGAGTAGCCATCCAACTTTGAGAGAACATTGTGGACTTAGTAGAGTAGATTCCTGAGAGGTAAACAAACACATACAAGCATAATCACACAGCTAATTGCGGCTAATAAGAAATTACCACTTCATTGAATATTTAATCGAGTTTCTTATTCATTAGGCACATCACCAATGGCTAATCCCTAAGTGCAGCATTTATAGTTAATAGATGATTGCAACATAACATTTTAAGATTAAGGTTTAGGTCAATTTTGTGGGTTGCTTTATTTTACAGTACACATAGAAATTGTGGAAGTAGTGTACAGTACAGAGTTATGCTATTCTGACTGCTCAGCTTGGATTTCATGGCATCACAATACTCAAATGCATATTGTATTTTTATTGGGTATTGGGTGGTGATAGCGCATAGATAAGATACTTGCCTTTGGTGTGGGAGACCTGGGTTCAATTCCTACTGTGGCCGTCCACCATTGTGTCCCTGAGCAAGACACTTAACCCCTCGTTGCTCCAGAGGCGTGCAACCTCTGACATATATAGCAATTGCTTTGGATAAAAGCGTCAGCTAAATAAATGTAATGTATTTTATTATGGGAACGTATAGTTGTAGAGTATCTAGAAGGAATATGTCAAATTATCTAGTTGCCTTTGACTTAGTACTACTTTTATTAATTTTATTATTTGGAAGAAAATAAACACGCTAACAGGATTACAAATTGGTGTGAGGCTGATCTAAGATATTTATATCTTGTTTATTGTCACAATAACCAATCAACTTCCAGCCATGAAAGGCAGACTGCAGAAGACATGCCTCCCAGCAACCTGAATCAGTCGTAAAACTCTTACCACCACATTCTGAAATTAAAAGTTAGTGAAAACTAGATAACAAGCCAGTAGTAGAAATGGCAAATGGATAAATGTTTGAAGCATCCAGTTTCTGCTGCTTCAAGTGGTAATGAAAAAAGACAAAAAAATAAGACCAGGCCTAAAAATGGACAATACAGGAATACTGTCTTATAACAATATCTCACTTAGCTTAAAACCTCATCAAAAGAACACATTTGGGACATGTTGGTTGATGAAGGAGTACTTGAGCTCATCTGATGGGCTGCGAATAAAAAAGTTGGAAACCGCTGTTCTAGATACTCCATTTGCTTCATTTTGTGTTCCTTTGAAAAGCAGCTACATCATTAGCATCTCCAAAACACTACCCTGGAAACGGTCTCTTCCTCAGGTAGAGAAGGTGTGTGGATCCCAGGGAACTGGTCCCGTGATGCCAAGTGCAAGTCCCACCACCTCGCATAGTACAATCTCTGTGAGTCCTGCTACGTCAGTAACCTCGGACAGGTCACCTGTAACATTGCCTCCCGCAGTGGGTCATCAGCATCTGCAGCTGCAATCCCGGAGGTGAGTTGCATACATCTGATGAGATGTAAGAGTTCTTGTCAGAAGTCAGAATATGGGGAAAGTTAGAATTTAGCCACAGTAAGTTAATTTGTGATTAAATTTGTGAGGAGACAGAGTAGAGGTTCTTTTTACATTTGACCTTCAGTCATAGCAGACAAAAATTACATCAAACATTATTTCTGTGCTTGTGTCTCCCACCAGGTCAGTCCTTAAAGGTTCCAGAGGAGACAAGAGTCGCAGCCTGAAAAAACTATCAAGGTAAATTTGTCTTATTATCAAAGAAGTATTAATCTATAATCAAGAAGTAAAATGACAGACATCTAAAATTCTGCTTGTGTTTTCTGCAATAGTTATTTACTTAATTCCTTCCATTCATTAGTCCCTAAAGAAGAGCCAGTGTCAAAGAGTTTTTTACCCTCGACTTAGGCTATGTATTTTACAATCCAGTGCAAAGATCAGGCCAATAAAGTTGTATAGTAAAGTTGTCACCACCAGTAACAGTAATCACATGCCAAACAGTCAGTGAACTTTTAATTCTCTGTAGCTTGAGTTGCATTTGAATAATATGATCTCTTCATCATTTTATATGTCGTTCCTTTCTAAAGCATGTAACTATTTCCTGAAGGCGAGAAAATAAAACCTGAGTACAGAACATATTATGCAGTCATTATCAAAAGTACTATGAGCTTGTTTGCCTTCCTGATGTTGCTTTCAGTGACTTACCAGTTCCAGAGTCTATCACAAGGAATTTCACAGGGTTCCAAGTCTAAACTGGAACAAATAAAAGCACATGGTACATTGGCCTTACTGTTACTAACCCAAGCATTCAACTGCACACCTCTGTCTCTCTCTCTTTCATCTTTAAGGGAGTTTGAGGGTTCTATCCAGCGGTACCAGTGGTTTTTCTCTGAGCTGCCAGAGATGCTTTGTGAAAGTGAGATGGAGGTCGAGCAGCATACATGCTGGAGTGGCCAAGACGTTGTAGAGAGGTGTGTATGTTACATTACGTGCATTACTTTTAGCAAATAATTTTTCCCTGGAGGACCTATCAAAAACCAAGCATCCTTGATAACTACGTGAGTGAGACACCCATTTCTGTCATTTCATGCTCATATAGTTATTATTATAGTCCATATTGGACAAATAATGTAAATACAACCCCATTGGAGAGAATGTGAAAATAGCTAGAGCAATAGGAAAAAATGTTCATTATTCAAAGACACTGAATGTATGCATGAGCAAGATAAGTACAGAACACCCCTCACATTTTTGTAAATATTTGATTATATCTTTTCATGTGACCACACTGAAGAAATGACACTTTGCTACAATGTAAAGTATTGAGTGTACAGCTTGTATAACCCTCAAAATAACACCATCACACAGCCGTTAATTTCTAAACTGCTGGTAACAAAAGTGAGTAAACCCTTAAGTGAAAATGTCCAAATTGGGCCCAAAGTGTCAATATTTTGTGTGGATGCCATTATTTTCCAGCACTGCCTTAACCCTCTTGGGCACTGAGTTCACCAGGCTTCACAGTTTGCCACAGGAGTCCTCTTCCACTCCTCCAAGACAACATCACGGAGCTGGTAGATGTTAGAGACCTTGCGCTCCTCCACCTTTCATTTGAGGATGCCCCACAGATGCTCATTAGGGTTTACGTCTGGAGACATGCTTGGCCAGTCCATCACCTTTACCCTCAGCTCCTTTAGCAAGGCAGTGGTCGTCTTGGAGGTGTGTTTGGGGTCATTATCATGTTGGAATACTGCCCTGCGGCCCAGTCTCCGAAGGGAGGGGAATCGTGCTCTGCTTCAGTATGTCACAGTGCATGCTGGCATTCATGGTCAATGAACTGTAGCTCTCCAGTGCCACCAGCACTCATGCAGCCCCAGACCATGACTCTCCCACCACCATACTTGACTGTAGGTAAGACACTGTTGTCTTTGTGCTCCTCACCTGGTTGCCGCCACAAACGCGTGATACCATCTGAAACAAATAAGTTTATTTTGGTCTCATCAGACCACAGTAATCCATGTCCTTAGTCTGCTTGTCTTCAGCAAACTATTTGCTGGCTTTCTTGTGCCTCATCTTTAGAAGAAGCTTCCTTCTGGGACGACAGCCATGCAGACCAATTTGATGCAGTGTGCGGTGTTTGATCTGAGCACTGACAGGCTGACCCCCCATCCCTTCATCCTCTGCAGCAATGCTGGCAGCACTCATTTCCCAAAGACAACCTCTGGATATGACGCTGAGCACGTGCACTTAACTTCCTTGGTCGACCATGGCAACGCCTATTCGGAGTGGAACCTGTCCTGTTGAACTGCTGTATGGTTTTGGCACCGTGCTGCAGCTGAGTTTCAGGGACTTATCAATCTTCTTATAGCCTTGGCCATCTTTATGTAGAGCAACAATTCTTTGTATCGGATCCTCAGAGAGTTCTTTGCCATGAGGTGCAATATTGAACTTCCAGTGACCAGTATGGGGGAGTGTGAGAGCGATAACACCAAATTTAAAACACCTGCTCCCCATTCAGACCGTGTAACACTAACGAGTCACATGACACTGGGGAGGGAAAATGGCTAATTGGACCCAATTTGGACATTTTCACTTAGGGGTAGACTCACTTGTGATGTGTTATTTTGAGGGGACAGCAAATTTACACTGTTATACAAGCTGTACACTCACTACCTTACTTGTAGCAATGTGTCATTTCTTCAGTGTTGTCACATGAAAAGATATAATAAATATTTACAAAAAAGTTAGGGGTGTTCTTACTTTTGTGAGCTACTGTACATGGAGAAAGAGGGAGTTTTGATGTAAAATTATTGGCCATTATTGTGCTCAAACATTTAGTCAGCTTTCAGGCCTGGGTCAGTGTCAGGCTGAAATTTCTGGCCTGTGCAGTAAAATCCAAATTGGTGCATAGTTAATTTGTTCTTCGATGATTGGTGTGCTTCTACAGAATTAAGAATTGCTCTCTGTGCTGCCACATGGTCAGAAGCTTCTGTATATTGCTACAATATTGATGTACAGTGGGGGTATATTGTCCAGTGTTCTTTTGCATTCAGTCACAAGTGGGTGTTAAGTGAAAATCTAGTAGGTGTGTGTGCTACCTCAGATTTTGTCAACTCCACTGCACTTCACTAGTATGAATCACATTTTTGTTAACTTAGATACACCTGATATCATGTGAAATCTCCTGAGTTAATGATGAGAAGTGTATCTTCCATTGGTGGGTTTATTTGAAACAGAACTTTATGAGCATTAAATGCCTATAATGAGTGTTTCACTTGGGTAGTCATCCATGACTGTGTCTAATTTGTAGTCAGAATAAATTTTTAATTTAAAAAAGGGGACAAAAGTGCAGCATATGAGAGTGTGTGTGCGCGTGTGTAGCTCCTAAGAGTTGCCTGGGGGGGGGGGGTTGCGAAGGTTAGAGAGTTCGTTTCCAGAGTCTTTCTCATGGTGATTACATTGGCAGCTTAAACTGGTAGAAAGACAAATGGACACACACATTCACAGGCGCACACACAAACTCACTCCAACACACACACACACACACACACATTCCTACACACATACCAACTAACACACAAACCAACACGCACCCTGAAATATAAACAAAATGTGGGATGATTGTGCTCATCTGACGACTGCACACGGCCCTATCTCAACACACACACACACACACACACACACACAAAAGTTCTATCCATCTTAGAAGGGAATCAGTTACTGTGATGGAGAAGGTTTTCTATCAATGGTCTATCAGCCATATGCAACAGGCCATGTAGCCTTGCAAGGATATCCTCTACAAACAAACACACACAGACACACACTTTGCTTTGTCACCATCAGTGCTGCAGTGAAGGCCACTAAACCTTGTATTTAATGGCTCTGCCATTTCTTTGCCTCTGCTGATATTTTAAGAAAAGTGGGACAGGGCCCCCCTTAAATATATGTTTTAATTCAAAAGGTCCAATTAAGAATTTAAAAAAATCTTCATATAACAATTACATTACCGTTATACATAATTAGGGATGGGGATCGTTAATTTTTATTGATATTGATACTCTTATTGAGACTGCTTAACGATCTGATTCTTTATCGATACCACTATCGATACTTTATTATTATTTAGTGATGGTTATTTGGCAAGACCAGACCCAATGTGCATGAGGTACGCCTGCACGGTATGAGGAAAATCCGCAAGTCTCTATAGCAGTATCGATCAGCTCGAACCTTATTGATTTTCGGGTTTTGAGAAATTTTGGAACCGGGTCTCGATCCCAATCCCTATACATAATATACACTATTATTTTATGTTATGTAACTATTTTAATTGAATAGATTAATAAAAACACATCATAGTGTGGCCAATGTGACATCAAAATATTGCAGCATACAGTATAATAGGTTTCAACAGGCATCAGTATTATTTTATTAATTATTTAAGTATCATTTAATTGTGATTACAATAATTGCCACACTAAGAACAGTGAACATTTTTGCTAAACATCCCCTAACAAAATGACTGTCTTGTAGTAAACTTTGCCATAAGTGAATGAATTATGGTACTTTTGGAAACTGGAAAAATCTAAGCTTTAAAGTGCCTGTTCATCATATTTAGCCAGGTGCACAAAAGGAATGTAGTTATGAAATTAGCTGTCTTTGTGTATTCAATTGTTAATGAGCTAGTATTGTCAAGTGACAGTATGTAATAAACAAGAGATTGTCTCTGCAATAAAGAAAAGTTATAGTTTAGCTAAAATTACAAGTGGCCTGATTCTAAATCTGATATTTCTAAAGCAAAGTATAGTCTTTTGTGTAGAAATGCAATGTTGTGTTTGAAGTAGATGAGTTGTCTTAACAGTCTTTGGTCACTGTGGTTTCCGAACTTATGAAATCAGTTTTGAGTCCTCGATGCAAGTTAAGAAGTGTAAAGTTGGTTCTGGGATTTATTTATTAAATTTACTGTAGAACCTTCCATGTGTCATTGCTCTCTGTCATTTTCTGAAAATGATCATGATAAAAGTTTCAAACGAACATTCCTAACAAAATACCTCCTCCTACCCTCTCATCTTTCTTCTGACATTACTACCTTTTTCCAGGCCATTTTATCCCGACCCACCCCAACCTCTTTTCCATGTAATGTTGCCTGTGACAGGTCACTATGGTGAGGTTTCTGAACATAAACAGGACTGAAAGTAAAATATTCAGAAGTCCTCAGACTGCCATTATATGTAAAGTGTGTTTTAGGGTGAAGTTTTACTTAAAAAGGACAGAAAAGATGTTACACTCCGCCTGTGTTGGAGTTCAGCCAGTCTGTGCCTCTCTGACCTCTTTACATCTTCTTCTCTCTTGCATCTATCCATGCACCCATTCATTCATTAATTCAGCCATCCATTCATCTCTCCATCCTTCTATTCAGACCTCCATTCATCTCCTCCGCCCTCTGACCCACTTCACTTACAAATGTCTGTGATGGTGAGAGTGTGTGCATGTGAGAAAAAGAGAAAGGTGGCAAAACACACATAATGATGAAAAAGTCTGAGAATGCATGATAAAGGAAAGTAGATCCATTCTGTCTTCCGGGTTATGAGTTAGCATGCCGATGAAGATGATTTTGCTCCTGTTTAAGGGAAGAAAGTTCAAGACTAAGAGTAGGTTCAATTTCCTATTTCAGGATGTTTTATCATCAGAATGCACTAATGCTGAAACAATCATAAAAATAATAACTGACAGAACTAAAGTACACAACAAAAATGCAGTCCACTACTGATGTTCCCCAGAGAATATATACAATGGTAGATTCAACTACAATCTGTTTACAATATGTACAATATTCAACAACTTGAGTAAACACTGCTATCAGCTGCTAATCCAGACAAGAACATATTTAAACTGAAGCGATGGCAGGACCCAATTGGCAGCAGAGTGTCCTCCAACCACTCTTGGCCAATCCACCATATCCACCTACACTGATGGG